ATTTTCATATTCAGTTGTGAACAAGACGGCAACCACTGCTTTCACTTGTTAGAAACAGCTTGAGAACCGGGCAAGGTTAATCTACCAGTTACCTCCTTATATCCACAGGGGGTCTGATAATACCTCTCTTTCCCCTGGGTGGCAGGCCTGTAGACCGAGTATAAAGTTGCTAGTCGGCTGTCAGGAGCGCCGGTACCCCAGGAAGTAATTGGGATTCTGATATGACTGTCTAATAATAGTTCCCAATTATTTCCAATTGCCCGTCCCATCGGACAGGCAGATAAAAGCACAGGGTTATGGCTCGTCAATCCGGGAGCCCGCAGTTTCCAGCCAGAGTACATGTACTTGTTTGGACAATACCATGCTTTACTGTGTTGAAGGTTATACTAGTCCTTGCCATGCATTTCCAGCATGGACTCGCAAGACAGGTGTGCGGCTTAACACTGCCCTTAATTTCCTACCTCCATGGCCCTACTCACAGTTAAAAAGTCCCTAACCTATGTCTTTTCCTGGGTAGGAACAAATGCAAGAGTTACTAAAACAGAATGGTAACCTTCCTTGACTGTATTTTTAACAAGACATTGGATCATTTCAGTTTATAGTATTGCATTAAAATTACATTTACCCAAAAAAGTAAAAGGTATTTGGACTCATTCATGAATTTGCCCGGGACTTTGTTATCCTATTGCATTCTCTGTGTCTACCTGTCATACGATCACCATTTACACTTGTCATTAAAATGCCGTATACCAAATAGAGATAGTGTGTTAGTCGGTTATAGGATCGGATAGGAACGATGACAACTTGTTAATTAGTGTCCTGGCGCAATAGGGATATCTGTACAGAGATCGATAGGCGCCATCGTTATAAACATTCCTTTCCCAAAGCGAGGAATTCCTGTAGTTAAAATACATGTACGGGGTACTTTCAAATCAGGAAGCGAGAGACGCAAATGCAAGCTGCATGGTTCGGATTCCCGCCAAATGATATCAACATCTCCAAATACGCAGACGGCGTATTTACCGCGCCTTGCATGCAGGGCATTTGCAATGATTTATACTTTGTTACATTCTGCAGCAATTATGAACAAGTACTCGTGGGTATATTGTGCAAGTCATGGATCACATTTCAAACATTCCTGCATTTAAATTACGGCAAGATACATTACTCTCGTTACCCTTTCTGCCTTTATTTTCTCAAAGATGTACGACATCTTCCTGCCGAAAAACATGACCAGAGGCATACTAAAGTCAAAACGGAATTCCCCGAAACATTTGACGTTAACGTGTGAAAGGAAAGGCTTGCACGTTCGTACACGCATCTTAAGACGTATTTTGGGCAGTTCTTCAGACTGAAATGTTTCTTAAATTATGTAACATGGTCACTTAGGAGAAAAGGAACAATGAAAAATCGCAATACAAACAAGGACTGTATCAGAAGAGTTATACCAGAATTTTGCTTTTACAATCGGAAGCGATGACTTACAGAGCTTACTGCTGTATACTGTATTTTCTGTCAGGCCCTTTCCTTCAATTGGAAAGCAGTTTACAAGTCAGGGTTAGAGCCCTTATCTCCAAACCTCTTGAAACATGCACTTATGGTACTCCAAGGGGATAATGGCTAGCCTGTCATCTGCCTGAGGTGCTATTTTTTCGTGCTCGGGTGACAGAGACCACGCTTGCAGGGGCCTGACCCCATCGTCCGGTCGGGAAACCAGTTGACTCCTCGACAACGGAGTTATCTACATTGATTCTACCAAGTGCCCAAGCGTTTTGTTGGGCGTAATCGTATTCACGTCAGCTGAAGATAAGTGATGAAAGGTCTCCGGGGAGGCAGAACCGCGGCCTTATAAGAAGCAGAAGTGCTTGGTGGCGACAGATAGTTAGTGCAGTGGGTCAGTGGCCGCTAGTGTACCACTTTTTATACCACAAAAAGATTCGCTCTGAATTCCGGAGGAATTTTGATGCATTGGTAATCGATACTTTTGGAGAACTCAGCATACTATAGTACCATAAGGGATAAGTTGTTTTTTCATCTCCAGATATGCTGTTTGAAAGTGGTTCCGTGCACAACGGAGATTCTAACAGATATGAGGTAACAAATACTTAATATTAAAAAAAAAAGTTTCAAAGTACCGCGAAGGATATCATGTTGTGTTTGATAGGGAGGGGGTGACACGTGGACGCTTGATTACTAGGGCGGTCACCGTAAAAATCAATCCTGATTTAAGGACCGCCATTCTGTCTCGCATCTTTTTTCTTTTTTCTGCACTAGGCGTCGTGTGGCAACCCATGCCAGTCTGTGAATTATTTTGTCTACGAGTGTTGTCACGATCTCCAGTCGAGTTGCACATATTTGGTAAACTTTCTCAAGTGCCTATCACCGAGGATGACAAACCTTTCACATAACAGCATTGTACTGTGAAGAGAAACGTTCCACGATTGTCTTTAAAAAGAGTAATTGGATCCAGCTATCCGAGGAGCAGGAAAGGCGTTTCAATCCCCGCCAGAATAGAGGACAATGAACCTTTTCTCGAAAAGATAATGGGCAAAGAGGTGAAAAACCTGTCGCATCTCGTGTGCAACTTCAAAAATAGGTGTCTTGGAAGATCCACCGCTGATTCCATTGATAGAGGCTAGGCGGCTTTCATCATATCTGGACTGCGATTGTGCCCCGGATGCTGGGGATTTGTCAGTGTTTTCATTGAGGCAAGTGTTCTTAATTACTCGGCAGACTTATTTTTGGCGCGACATCCCAGGCGCATGTACCGGACGGAACAGCACGATCCAAGTCCCGCCTAGAAAAGTATCGCGACAAAATGTTGCAGCTTATATGTTGTCTGAAAACTGCGTGTGAAACTTGTAGATTTCTATCAGTTGCGGAAGCTGCTAACGTGAACCTGCCCGAAACAGCAGCTTCCCTAAATGCTTTTCCTTTTTATCTTTTTCCCCATTTACCGGAGAGGGGTTGGAATCAAACACCCTAAAATCCTGTATTTCCTTACGGGAGATTTTAAGAGTAAAAAAAAACAAGTATAAGAGATATGTCGTGAAACATGGACATTAACATGCATCTACACTTCCGAAGTTTGTATCTTTAAGTAAATATCTTTGCTGCCGTTTCGGTGCGGGGGGTTGCTGGAACATTTGAAGTAGTCCACATTGCACCAAGATGACGAGGCTCAGAAATTTCTACTGAGGCAAATAGTATTTTGACATGGCCATTCTAGCTTGGTTGTGTCGGAGGATAATATGCCTAATGTTCACACAAAATGGATTTGTGCGAACACTTCATGCACTGCAGTGTAACGTGCCTTTTAAGTGACCATTTGCGACGGGAAATTCCATGGCGGCGTCATTTTCTAAAAAAGACAACAAACTAAGACTGACGAAGAGAGGTAACAAAAGCAGTGTTTCTCATAAGGTGTAATGATGGCATTCAGGCTCTCTGGTGACAACTCTTTTTTTCAGACCAGAGGTAATTGGTCGTTCTTACAACCTGTGGCTAGACATAATGGGCTTTGTACATTGTGCTTGAAGGAAGCAGTTGGTCACAATGTTTATGGTGGCCCAGAAAAGGCACAAATTTTAGTTATTTTTTTGTATCTTTAGACATACAGAATATCAAGTAAAACAATCAGCAATGCAATCGGGGCTGTCACGGAATGAACAAGTGTCATAAAAATGATAGGTTCATCCAAATCCCCGATCACGGACAAAATATGAAATTTTCCCCCTTTGATATAGGATACCTCTTTCCCAAGTGTTTTCATCATGATTTTATGTAGGCTCTTTTTTACTACACGTTCAATTTTTCTCAATTTTCGCAAACCGACAACCGTCTTTTGAAAGCCACCGTTTTCCAACCTAAAAATCGGGTCCACGGAACTTCCGCAAGCCCCTCTAAAGGCTGATCGTCGTGGTCAAAGAAAGGGATAGTTCTTCAAATCGGAGCGTTGGTGTTCTTCAAACTGACCAGTGGATATAATCCAGACGTGAGAAATAAATCGGCCATTGAGTTGAAACTCTCCAGTCAGATACCTTTCAGTGTTCCTTCACTGAAGACTGAACCTACGACACGACTAGTTTGGAATGGACACGCTAAAACCAGTCGCGTTTCGCAGTGTATTATTTGAAATGCAGCATAAGTTGGAATTTATCAGAACTGTTTTTGTTTGTTTTTTCAAGATATTAATATTAATTCAAAAGCACATATAAATCTCTCTTGTTATATTATTCATGACTCATGTCGTTCAGGGTGGGGCTAAACGGCTGGCCTCACCCAAGGGTCAGTGATGCCACCACAAGTCCTCAGGGATGCGGGTTAGCTATTTAATATGTCTTTCCTCTTCAGTCAAGGAGACCAGGAAACCATCCATAATGCAACTCTGTACGCGTTCATGACTGAATCGAATATGACAGTGAAGTGTTGTACCTGAAGCCTTTTAACGGGTCCTATCAGGAGAGTATTTTAGGTCTTTCATTTTCATCCGGGTCAAATGTCACAGAGACAAGTTGTGTACGGGACCTGATATGCGCATTTTACCGCTGAAGTGTGAGGCAACTACCTACATGGGTCATAGGCCTATGTTGTCTCCGGCAAGATGACAGCTCCTCCAGACATTTGTATGAGATGACTGACAGATTCTGAAGGTAATCCACGGCTTTTACTAGTATCAACAGTGGCTGGGGTTATCTCCTCACCACAGATAATAGAACCATCCTCAGGTAAACATCATCTTTGGTGCTGGCTGTGCCAGATATTCCCTCTTTGGTCGGATTAGGTTCATCCTAAAAGTACCGGCTCCTCTCGCCATTTAGCGAACAATCAAATATCGATTCTGGCTGATAAAGGCCCGCTGGAAAAGGTGTGAAGTGTAATTTTCGTGGGGTCCGCACCGATCGAAGTGACAACAGCTGCGACCGACGTGATCAAGATAGATTTGACCATCGACAGAGGAAGCCGGAAGAGCTCTTGTGAATCTACGTACGCCACCCCGTCGGCTTCGGAAAGAACGGGTATGACTTAAACATTAATTTATTTCTATACACAAACCCACCCAGAAGTCGGGAAGTCATTTGTTATGAGGTCAGAAAGCTATAAATCCGCTGGTGATGGAAGCTGATCCGGAAGGGTCTGTGTGTCGGGAAAACTCGAGAATTGCATGAATAACGATGTTGAGAATATCTCGAGCGAAACATTACGTTTGGCTGTCATTATTTTGAGAACGAAATTCTCAAAAATCTGAAACTAAACAAAACCACAATCAGAGATTTGTTACATGAGATCTGTTTAATTATATCTCGAAAACATTTCAATGATGTAGTAGTATTTGATGCAATGGGTGATCAGTGTCATTTTCCAGCCGTTTTCTCTTCCTGTTTTCTGTCGTCAATTGCTCGTGACTGGTTTTAAGCTTGAACAGTTTGTTCTTTGTATTAAGTTAAATGGTTTTTGCCCAACAAGTCTGATATGTACCCGGTGTTCGTCAATTATCAACTAGCTTTAGGTTTGGGCAGGAATGTTTGCGAAATTTCGGCAAATATAAACAATAATAGGCTCTGCTGTATCGACTTTTCCTTCGAAAACACTGTTTGGCATTTTTTAAAACCTAATTTAATACAGGTTGCATTTCACGGTTTTTCAATGGTTCCATGCCATGTGATTGTGGATTTAGGATCATAGCTATAAATTCTTTACAAATGCCGTTATTTGTTCAAGATGCCTCCGATTTGGTACTTCCGTCACGGGTTGTCTTGCAATTTGTATAATTTATAGGGACCAATAAAATTAAGTGACATTTACTGTTGACGCAAATTGAATGTGATGTTTTGCATTTAGCAGGGCGCGTATATATTCAAGATGAAGCCTTGCTGTGGCCTAGATGCACGTATTATACCAAGCCTTTTGGGAAAAGGTCCATTTAAGTTCTTTATCAATCAGACTCAGTCCAGACAAACGGAATAGACGTTGAGAGACAAGTTTTTATTGGGGTATTCATTTTCCTAACAGTATAAATTACAGTTGATACAATTACCGATGATGTTGTTTTACCTTCTCTTTTACTGACAATATCCCAAATCTCCTGCAAGTCTAAATTTAAACGCAAGTTTTATTACGGGTGTAGGTCGTCGCACTGACCCGTGGGTTGCACTCAAGATCGGTACAGATTTTTACAGCTGTCATTTAAAGACGCAATGCCAGTCCGTATTGCCTCTGGGATGAGATCCTCCCAAAGTGCAACTAAATCCCACAATGTTGACAACAGATACAAGGTGAAATCCAGAAACTGTCATACGTTTGCCGCGATGTAAACCTGCTTGAGAGACTGGGACAACACAGAAGCCATTTGAAAGTGAGTTGCGTTAAATGCAAAGGTATAATGAGAACTTTCTCAACTGCTTTTGAAAGATCGTTTAATTTGAAATTTAATCTAAGAGATCAATGAATATAAATTAAAAGTTGTAAATTAAAAAGAGGTATCTGCAAACGAATCTACAGGTCGCGTTAGAAAACCTAATTAGAGCGCTTCTATATACTTCTCCAATTCAACGTGAAGGTGTATGCCATCATTCTTTGTTGGTCGATTTTGTTAAACTGTCGATCAGTCTTTGGTAATTGCCAGTTTGATGGTTGGTGTGCCAATGTATTTCCTTCCTACAGTAAGGTTGAGAAGGCACTCCATGCTCTCTTGATGCTCTAGTACTTGCTATGGTTGAGCAACTAGATTTTCACAGATTGGGTGTTTGTAGATCATGATTAATTTTCAAGATGTACTTTGCAGGAGGTCGTGGGTTTGAGTCCCACCCGAGTAAGCTTGTGAAGTTTTAATACGTCAGGTAAGGGCAAAACCCGTAATTAAGATCAAGTTGAGTTGGAGGGATTGTTGGCTGTTTGATTAGTTGGCCAGCTTCTTGGTGATGGAAAGGTCTGTCAATACGAACTTGGTTCATTTAGTTTGTTTCATTGGCATAAGATGGTTCGCTATAGATGGTTCATCTGATAGTTGGTTGCTTGTTAGGATTGGTAGACCTAGGCCTACTGACTTGTAGACCAGCTTGGCTCTGTCGTGCTGCCATGCAGTGTACAGCAAACCGAGATGACTCAGCGAGCTACTGCGATTTGCCGGTTCGTTTAACGCGATGAATCAACTTTGTGTTTAAAAGACTTTTGGAGGATGATATGCAATAATAACGAACACGGTCGATAATGGGAGTTCAAGACTGTCAATCGTCAGATGCTCTCCGTGTAAAGGCGCTGGTCCGCTTTCTTGAAAACGATGAAAACCAACCTGCTACTTCTTGTAGCTGTCATCCTTGGGATTTCTGACCTGATATCTCCGCCGTGACGGAATGTGTCAGAAGCAAAAAATGAGCAAACGTTCCTCGATTGCTCATGTTTCGCAGGAAAAGGGATTTACCAATTTGGTTAAGAGGCGGGGATGAAATAACGCAGACCAGGTGGAAAGATGTGATACCTTTAGTGATTTTAGTTTCAGGTTGTTTATAAAATGATTCGCTTAGACCTATTAGTAAAAAAAACTAAATGCTCTGGAGAGAGAGAAGCAAGTACACCGTAGCAGACGTTTATAATAACAGCTATCTATGTAGGGAGGAAGTTTCTCAAGGCATTTCAAATTCCTTTCACATTCCACATTTTGCTAATGAAAGCGCATCAACTATCCATTTCGCGCCGGCTGTAGTGTGATGTCCACGAGCCAGCTGCTTGCTCACTTAACGTTCCAGATTGTTCTGAGCAGGAGAACCCTGCACCTCACCTTGGAAGACAAGAATGAGAAATCCAGAGGCTCTGGACCAAGATCTTCGCAGGCATCAAAGGTCACCAGGCAGGGCACATTTGGTGAACACGTTACTGGATTCAATGTACATATGGCGCACTGCGGGATCGCCCTCAAGCCGGGAATCCGAGTCCGTAAGATGAATCACGTTCCGGATTTGACACTCACCGAAATCCAAATCCGTTTGGCATTACACACTCGGACCATTACAATAACACGATTAGGCCGACAACTCGGGCTTAGCGGTGCTCTGAAAGTCTCAGATGGATTTCATGCCTGCTCTGATTTGTTGGGGATTCTTTGACTGCATCACTCCACCAACCAAACATGTTGGATTACTTCAGGCAAATCTCGCATACAGTTACATCAACGGAGAGAAGAAGGATGCAAAAATGTTTTCGATTAAACTACTTTGATTTATTAGCTTGATCCCCTGTAGCTGCGGAAACGAAGCCGATGGCCTCCGTTAAGCACTAACAGGCTATAATTATTGTCATGTGGTCCTTGAAAAAAACATAGCGGCACTCCTTGGTTATTGCCACCATTTTGGCTCTCCTTTGCATCAACAGGCTGTATTAGAAAGGTAAAAAATAGAGGTGTGAAAATGGAGCCACGATGAATGATGTCGGAATGGCGCCAGTTCCGAAAGAAATGCAAAATGGAAATCCAGGATTTCATCGTGCCTCCAAAATTAGGTTCAAGGTTACTCAATGCACGCTTTCATGACGAGATCTTGACAGCACAGCTTCTTATTCAGAAATCTAAACTAGTTAGCGTTCTTTTTATCGACTTTCTCTCACGTTTCCTTGATTGATGGGTGTTTCCGCGAGACGACTTCACTTATTTGTCTTTTTATAGAGATGGGACCCGCTACATGTTTACATCTTCAGGAAAACAACATATTCCCTGGGGATGTGATGACAGCATAAACCTGCTTGTTCGATAAGAAAATATCAGAAACACATTAAATCAAGCCGGTTGTCGACGTCAGAAACATTTGCTGTTTTGCTGACACCGTTTGCAAACTCCCGAACCGGGAGTGACACATTACTCATTCCCTTTCCTCCAAGGAACACCTAAGATGCTCCCCTGATTCGTCTTAGACACCTTAACGAGAGGAAAAGGGCTTGGTGAGGGGGTTATTCTGTCGACGAGTGAGGGGAAGCCCCTGGGGTGTCAGATGGCAGCGCTGAAAGGAAAGAGATCTTGATTCGAACCGGAACGCCTCGGGCGCTCGGTCTGAGAGCGGTCCAGTGGTGTGTTGAGAAATACTTGGGGCTGGGGATCAGAACAAGCTAACGCCTATGGACATACCCACAGGTGTCTCTCTGTAGCTATCCGAAACACTGCAGCCCATCATTTCTAAGACTTTGGGGGCAAGTTGTCCATTCATTGTCAAAGATATACAGATGTTGCTCCCATCGTGTCTGAGAAGTTCTTTTCTCCACGGTAAACGGTGCATCTACACAGAAATCAGTTAGGTTCGACGCTCACGCGGCCGATAATTGAGGTGGTAGATTACTTCGCGTCAAAGACGAGGAGTTGGAGAAGATCAGAAATTGCGAACAGTGATTAAAATCTCTCAAGGAAACTCAAGAAGATAAGAGAACGTATGTATAATCAGAAAAGCCTGGTTTTCAAAGTTCAGTTCTGAGTCAGCCAGTGAGTATTGCTGTTTGGTAGAGTGTTTCAGCTCCAGACCATTGTGTAATTGTAGTGCAAGTATAATAATGTGTAGTTATATTTCTGTGATAGCATTGGAATTATTTGAAATTCGTATGCAACTTCAACATTTATAATGTGATCGGCTAAATCGTCTGTTCAACCAAGGCGAAAATTCCAGTGCAAGCAAACCTGGTTGTGACACTTGACATGTTAAGATGAAATGACGTGTCAAAACTTAACGACTTTGCATATAGGCCTGACTGCACAGCTGTCCCTGCACCACGTTGGCCTTTTTCCCCTGTCTGTACACTGCATCGGATCATGATCAAACTGACGCATAAATAACTGACACAACTTTCAGCCAATTGCCCGTTGGACTGTCTGCAGTGAGCCCGTCCGTGCTCAACGAACCAATGCAGATGCGTACGTGAGGCACTGCACAGATCCAACAAACGGCTGTTTTATGTATGCTATTTCCAGGCTCTTTAACCCATCAAGCTTGACAGGTTTATGCGCAGTGGCAACCTGCGTATATGCGTATTGCCTTAACCCGAT